TTAAACAATTTAGAGATAATAGAAATATACAAGGTTTTTATATACTAGTTTGTTTTGTTTTATAAAGAAAAATACATATTCATTAGTAAAAAATGGAGACTGTCATTAAACTAAAACGTGCCTTAGTATTTATTTAACGGAACCTGTAATGTGCGCGTGCATAATAAAACCTCCGTTATATAAATATATTCAACGTAATATTAGTGTCATCAGCGGATGTTGTAGTCTACTCTTTTTTTACCTTATATTATAACTTGATTTATGAAAAAAAAAAACTTATTGAATCGCACGCAGAAGAGTTTTAACAAATTGCCTTCATTCAAATATTGCGAGAAACAGGTAATTTTTTTTTCTGTGCAGACCCTCTCCCCCCGCATAACTTAAATTATATACTAATAAACTAATAAGAAAAGCTATATACTATTAAACTAACTATAAGCTATATACTATTAAACTAATAAGAAAAGCAAAGACATTTTTTTTAACATCTCGAAAAAATGTCTTGATATTTTTGTTATCATGATAACAAAAATATTAAGACATTTTTTGAGATTTTATTAAAAAAAAATGTCAATTCTTAATTACAAATTTTTTTGCAAATGTTTTTTATTATAAATTCAGTAAAAAATTCATAAAAAATCTATATTACAAAAAACTTTTATATTCTGTATTAATAAATATGGAATATAGATTTTTTAAAAGTTTTTTTACTAAAAACTTTAAAAAATTACTACTTTTTATTAAAAACATTGCAAAAAATTTGTAGTTAAGGATTGACAAACAATTTTTCATGTTGCTAAATATTTGGATAAAAAGTTTAGCGTCAAATTAATTGCTATAAAAAGGAAAGATATATCGCAATGAAAAGCTACAATAATTATTAGCAAGTAAATTCTTTTTTTTAATAAATACCTTTACATAACGTTATTTAAAAGTTAATGTGGTTTTTTTGAAAATTAATTGCTTCTTTTATGTTACCGCTAATTTAAAAGTTAAAAAATGATAAAAAGTAGCTTAACCAAAACAGCTCTACGCGTATGTAAAAAGCGCTTAAGGCGTACGTAAATCGCTCTAGGCGTAACGCTTTAAAACAAGGCCTGCAAGCGTAGACGATCCTGCAGATCAACAAAATTAGATTGCGATAAGGTTTTAGAAAAAAGTTTAGTATCATCGGCAAATATCTCAGAAGTTTCAGTGAGTCTTGCGAGATCATTTGTGTAGAGAATGAAGAGGAGCGGGCCGAGAACAGAACCTTGAGGAACACCACTGAGAACATCAACCCATGCAGAGCTGGTATTGTTAATTGTAACGCGTTGCTTTTTGCCCACTAAAAAAGATTTAATCCATTGTAGGAGTTTGCCGTTTATTCCGAAAGATCTTAATTTTAACAAAAGTCTGTTGTGAGGTACAGAGTCAAACGCTTTGGCAAAGTCAAGATAGATTACATCAATAAATTGGTGAGATGCTATGGAGGACGAAATGATATCAAAAGTTTCTATTAGGTTAGTTACGCATGATTTATGATAAAGGAAGCCATGTTGATTTGCAGAGAGCATTTTATTATCGTTAATGTGCTTTAAAATTTTTTTCTTTACAAGTTTTTCAAAGATTTTACAGGCAACAGATGTTAGTGAAATAGGTCTATAGTTTTCAGCAAGTAATTTATCTCCCTTTTTTTTATAGATCGGACTAATATTTGCTAATTTCCATTGAGTGGGTACTACTCCAGAATTAAAGGATTTATGAAAGATTTTTGTTAATGGAATTGCAAAGCTTTTGGCACATATCTTGAGTATTAAGGGATGCAAGCCGTCAGATCCGAAGGATTTATAAGGCTTTAGATCGGCAAGTTCCTGAATAATATCTGAGATAGAGAAATCCAAGTTTTCATTATAAATGCATTCAGAAAGAATACCACTTTTATTTAGCAAAGGAAAATTTTCAGAGCTTTCAAGTGTAAACATAGATTTAAATTGAGAGTTCAGAAGATCAACTATATCAGGAAGAGCTTCAATAATTCTGCCTGAAGTATCTTTGAGAGAGCGAATTCTATCTTTAATTTTTAGTTTTTTGTTGATATATTTGTAAACGATTTTTGGGTTGTTTTGGGATTTTGATATTATTTCTTTTTCATGTGCTTTTTTTGCTTTAAATATTTCAGTTTTTACTGAACGATTAAGGCGATTGTATTTTATTTTAAGCTCACTATTCTCCCATTTGGTAGAGCAGTTTATATGCCAAGCGGATTTTTTTTCTCGGATCAGGTTTTTAATATGTGGGGTAACCCAAGGATCATACTTTTTTTTTGTTTTATTAATCTTGGGAATAAAATATGTGCAAGCAGTGCGATAGTTAGAAATTAGTATATTGAACATTTGATCTGCAGTTTTATGCAGGAATAAAAACTCCCAGTCGATTGATGCAATAAAGTTAGATATTGAATCGTAATCACCTTTTTTGTAATTAAACGATTGAGATTCACTTTCGGTAAACAGTTCTGAAACTAAGAATCTCCAAGTGATACTAAAATGACCCTTAGTGGTGTTACCTAGTATAGTACTAGGGGACAGGTTTAAAATAGAATTTACTGTTGTAGGTAAATAACAAGTCCAACATATTATTTGAGGAACCATAATCAGTCTGGAAAGTAGGAAATGTGATATGTTGAGTAAAAAGGCTGTTTTGGAAAATATTCCAGAAATCATACTCGGTAGGATTGTTTGGGTTAAAAGATTCAATACCATCGTTAGACCACTTTATATTCGGGAAGTTAAAGTCACAGACAATCAAACAGTCATCATAGGGCTTTTTAATTAAACTATGAGCTAATTTGAAGGATTCAGCGACATATTTTATTAAACTGGCATCATTTGGTCTGTATATACAACCGATAAGTATATGTTTGTTGTTAAATTTTACAGATACCCAGACTTGTTCGAGAAGATTTGTATAAAATTGGTTAACTTCATGAGAGTTAAATACGTCTGTAATGTAGATAGCTATACCGCCACCTCGACGTCCGTCTTGACAATCTTTACGATATAGGCTATACCCATCGATATTAGGTACTGAGTCATTTCGAAACCATGTTTCAGAGATAGCAATAACGTGATAATCAAACGTTCTAGATATTGAAATTAAATCGGCCATTTTATTATCGAGAGATGTAGCATTAGTATAATAACAATTAACGCTATAGTTTGTTTTTTTGTTATGAAGATTTTTACTTTTGTATTTTAAGTTTGCTGGTAAAAGAGTGGAAGAAGGGTAGTAATGTTTATGTAGTGGTTTGTATATTTTTGAGTTTGACGACTCCGCTGCTTCATATACCGTATCTAAAGGGCGATGTTTTTAAATTGATATTACTATTTAATTCATTACGCTTCATTCTTAACTGATAGTTTAAATATCTTTCAGCCTCAGTCAAATCTGGGCTTATAAAAATATTTTTATAATTATCTGAATTTTTCAATTTTTTTGCTGCTGTTAATAATGGGTTTCTTTCGGAGACATCAGAAAGTTCGACGATAATTGGTCCTGGTTTAGAGGACGTAGATTTAATACGTTTGACATATTTTGGTTTTGCATCAGATGAAATAGTAACTAAGATATTCTGAACCGTTTCCTTATCGTCGATATGCTTATCAGCAACTGATAACTTTGCAGATTCTTTAATGCCATAAATAATAACATTTTTTTCACGCTTCTTTTTTTGCTGTTGCTCAATGGCAAATGTGTTGATAATTTTTAGTTGTTCAATAGGCTGCTTTTTTTTTATGTTTTTGCTTGCAACTGTAACCCAGCTGGATTCGATACTACTGGTTGTGGTATTAGTTAGCTCATTAGGATTTTGGATTAGCTTATCTATTATTAATTGTTGTTGCTTTATTACTTGTTCTAGTTCAGATATTTTGGCTGACCATTTCGCAGTTTCAGCATGAATAAGTTTTTTAATTGCGTCCTCGACTTGCTTTAATTGAGCTGGTGTTAAATTAGTCATCACAGATGAATTTTTTTTTTTTTTTATATCAGTGATGTTTTTATGTTTATTTATTTGTTACAATTATTGCAAATTTATTTGTTACAATTATGACAAATAACTTATTACACAGGGACTAAAAAGATTCAGTATGTGTTTTTTTCCGTGTTATCATATTTATTTGTATATATTTAATTTCTTTATATTATTTGTATATGTTTATATATAACTTTTTTATATGTATTTTATATATAATATATGGATATATAATTTACTAATATAGTTTGTGTCAGAGCGCAAAAATTTAGCTTATTGTTCAGAAAACTAAAAACAAAGAACAGGTGCAAACGCAACTTTTGGCGAAGAAAAAGAAAAAAAACAAAAAAAAAAAACTTTTTATAACTCTGTAAAAAAAAAAAAAAAAAAAATTAAGCGAACTGAAGCATAAAAAAAAATCTCAGTTATAACTATTTTTATAATAGTAATATATAAATAAAGATATATATAATAAAATATTAGTATAGGTATAAAATATAAGAATTATATTTAATTTAGTTATGCGAAGTACAACAAAAACTGTATTATAGACACGAATAGTTAATATATTACTATAATTTTAAGTAGAAAAGTTATTAATAAGCTAATTAGATAAAGCAATAAGTAGAAAAAGAAGTAGTGGTTAGAAAAAGTTAGAAAAATAAGTAAAAAAGAAAGATAAAGAATACGGAAAAAAAAAAAAAAAATTTAAAATTCCTGAAAACTTACGCTCAAACAAAAACACGTCTTATCGGCTCAAAGGCTTAAGCGAAATGTCTAAAGAATTTTTCACGTTGCAATAAATGACGCTTGTTATGTGTATATTATTGTAATTTTAACATGGCTTGTAACAACTATAAAACCAAATTTTATAAGCAATAGTTATATATTATAATTATTGCTTTTCTTTTGGTTTTTATCAGATTTATGATTCTTAAATATGTGCATAATATTAAATATTTTTATTAACATTTTTTACTTTTAGAGTAAAAATATTATCCGTAAAAAAAGAGGAACAGATTGCTGAGATTGATACTTTACAAAACTTAGACTTGGATGAAGTTTGTGAAAACCTTGCAGTTAAACTAGAATCTGCACAAGAAAAAATGGGAAGAATAGTTGACAGGTTTGAACTTTGTTGTTTTATAGTTTTTTGTTTATATTTAAGTTTATGGTTATTGTTATATTTCTTCACTGAGAAGAAATTAAATGTGTTTTACATGTAGAGTTTTTTTAGAATAGCATAATCATTGTGTAAATTTTACCAAAAAATATTAAAATATAAACCCACAAATTTTAATCTACTTTTTACAAGTATTTGTGGTCTCTGAAGTAATTTTTCATCTGTTAAGTCTTATGTCTTGCAAAATTTACAAGATCTTTATGCTCTTGGTGAGGCTAATTTAAATTCAGGCATTTCAACAGCAGATCTAAGTGTTGGTAGCTATTATCCTCTTTGATTTGAAAAGATTCCAATAGTCAGATCAATCTGTAGATATTGTTGCTTTTGTTGACTCTGGTTCTCATTATACTAAATGGCGTGGCTCAAAGCTTGAAATTTCTTTTTTAGTTTTTTACTCATATACTTTTACCACTCTGACACTAGTTTTTACTTGATTTCTCCCCATTTACCTTCAGGTACTTAATACCTTGCAATGACATCACTAAAACAGTTTTATTTTTCTCTACATCAGAATCATATTATTGTACTAACTACTAGAAGACTTAATGTGTAATTTTTTTTTGTGTCCAAACTTATGCTGATATCTTTTGTTCCATTAATACAATTGTAATATTCTGTATTCAAATTGGTTGATTGATTCAAGTTGGCATGAAAACTATTATTGTTACTTGTTGGCTATCAAACTTATAATTTTTTTATTTTGTACAGGTACTATTTCTAATCAATCATTTCTTATATCTTTTTTACCATAATATCTTTCCTGAGAATAAATGCCTTTTTATAATTGCAAAAAGTACAAAGTGCAAATTGCATTTTTCTAAACTAAGCTAAGTTAGTTTAAAGTTATTCTCTCTAAAAACCTTAACAAATGCTTGTTTTCTTGTCTGCTGCACCAACAGGTTGCTTGATCTAAAATTGGAATAAGATGTAGAGTCTGTTCCCTGAAGAAGTCAATTCACTTTGAATTTCTTGTAGTTTTGACAAAATCTCTGGCATCGCTAATTAGATTTTTTATTGTGGGCCCATTCAATCCATTATTTACTGTTAGCTGTAAAGTGTGGACAGCACATCTTTGAAGATGTATAACACTCATGTTATTGGCAACTCCACTTGCCCAGACCGCTGCTGCATTGTCCGCTTTAGAAGAACCATCTTCATCAAACTAGCAGTTTCTACTAAAAAATTGTCTTTGTCATCTACGATTTCCTCAACGGCGCTGATGCCAAAGTTGGGCACCAATTTTTTTCCCCCTAAGTATATTAAATATGATTTCAATAGTTAATTTAAAGTTCACTGAATATATGTTACAGTATATATTTTTTTTCCTTCTATGTGATCAATGGATTGATCACAGCAATTTCATCATTGAAATTGTCAAGATTGATCACAGCAATTTCGTCATTGTTCGAGTATTGGGCATTTATACCGAGGTAGTGATGCATATGCCTTGATGGTAGAATCGACTAAATTAGCATTTTCGATAATTTGTTTTGGATTTGTTTGTGATGCTTTTTGGCAAGATCGATAACTTGAATTCTCATATCATCTCTATTCATTTTAAATCTAAAATGAGATCAAACTTTTCCGCAAAGCTTTTTAATAGGTTCCCGATCAAACGCCTATAGATATTGTTTTTAGAATGATAAATGTTTATTTAAAAATGCCAAAAAAACATATAATTGTTTAGATTTCTTTTTTAATTAAATATAAATACTAATGAAAAAATAGATTGAACATGGAATTATGGCTTCTAAAAACTCATTTTTTTCTATACGCAAATTAATTTGCTGTGGTATAAAACACTTTAATGGATCGCTGTGAAGTGCAGCCTTTGATGACTGTATGTTTTTGCTTTTTATTCTTTTCTTCAATTTTTTTTTCTAATTTTTCTTTTTCTTACGTAATGAGGAGTTCTGCATGTTTTCTAAATAGGGTTGCTAATGCAAGCTTTAGCTGTAAGAAAAAAGTAACAAGTTATGCGGTAAAAAAATTACTGCGGCACATGGAATTTGCTTTACCGCATAACTCTTTACTTTTTTTGGGTTTAAGACATTTGAAGCTCACTACTTTGCATCCATTCAAAATTTTATTTGTACAATGAAAGTGTCTGTAGATCATATCTGATGCATAGTTAGTGGTCATTACTGGTCAAGATTGTTACACGCAAGTTAATCGTTAATATTATTATAAAGAAAGAATGTTGTTATTGCAAGTTATTGTGAACATGTAAAGTATTTTCTTTGTGTTATTGATGCTTCGCAAAATTAGTTTTTTGTAAAACAACCCACAAAAAACATAGGAAAGCTGTTGCAATGAGTAATTATGAATCGATGACATTAATAGTTTTTCCATAAAAGGTATTGCTGCATAAAATAATTTTTATTTATTTGTTGAGGTATTTTTATAAGCTTTTTTTGGCTTCTTTCTGACCTAGATGGTACTTTTTTTTGCCAATTGTCTAGATCCTTAGCTTGACTTTATAGCGCAAACCCACAGACAAATTTGATTTTTTATTGCATATAATTAGTTTGTTAGTGATACGAAAAGTTATCAATTATTTGATAGCTTTTCGTATCTAAACCATATTGCTTTCATTGCAATTTTTCATTAGGCGTTATTAAAATAAAAATTTTGATTTTCTTAGCAGAGTAGACTGAAAACCAGTGTACATAATTATATTATCTTACGCCATTTCTAATCAGTTTTATTTCTACTAGCAATCCGGACCCGTAAAATACGGGTCTTTGTAAATCTATTCCACACCGACCTTTTCGATACATATTCCTTAGTTCAATATTTTTTAGTTGGTGGCAGAAAAATAACTTTATCCATATACAAAAGCTATACTCATTATTTACTTTTTAAAGCTTTGAACAAAAAAAAGTTTAATTAACTTTAAAAATTTTTTAGGCCTTTCAGTAGCCATTACGCGAATCACTATTTATCAACTAATTAAATATCAGTAACTATCTAAATAACATTTAGAATACCTGCTTAAATGTCTTTACTAATTACCCTTGGTTTAAAAAATTTTAAAAAACATGAGATGACTTAAATATGTGGACTTACCATGACCTGTATTCTGGTCATTCTATGTCTATTCTACTTCAACCATTTTAATAATTTCGCTTTATTTTAATAATTTTTAAAAAAGAGTAAAATATAAAAAACTTTGTTTTGAGTTAACGATTTATGTTTAATACTTTATAACTTCTACAAAAACAAAGAACAAAAAAAAAAGCGGGAAGGGGCTTGATTATATTTTTCTTTAATAAGTTTCTATTAATTTTTTTTCAGACCATCTGCAGCTTATTAGGTCTCTTGCTCCATTAACTTTGAAGAAAGTTAAATTTGGCATATAAAATATGCCAACTTTAATGGCATATTTTATATGCCATATTTAATGGCATATAAACCCGCAAGCTAATTGCTTAAGCACATTAACAACGTAAGTTCTTTATCATAAACAATAATTACAAAATTATAAGCACATAAACTTGTGCTTATAATTATCTCTATCATGACATATGTGCAAATATTTTTCAATAGTGTTTTCATGTTTTTAGAAATTTTAAAAAGCTTTTTAAAAAGCTCTCTCCCTTTCGTTTGTTACAGTATGTAATGTTTTTATATATGTTATGCATATAATATCCATAGTATTTTTTAAAAGTTTTTATTTTTTATTCTAGAAAATTAGAAAAAACTTAAAAAAAAAATATTTTTAGCAAAAGGATTTTAAGCCACACATATCACTTCAACCCCTTTAGCATGCTTTATCATCTTTTAAAACTGTTTATAAACCAAAGATTTATTAAACTTTATAAAACATTTATAGCATATAAATGGTATAAATCAAAATTAAAAAGATATGAAATGAAATTGTTGAAATGAAGTTGTTGAAATGAAATTATTAAGTAAAAGTAGATCTGTAAACTTTGATATAACATGAAGTTTACAGGTTATTTGCATAGGCTTTCATTCACATAGATAAAATACAAAAGATAAAATACAAATCATTTTGGATAATGGTTTTTAAAAAAATGCCTAATAGCTTTGTAAAAAAAAAAAGATATTTTTATTTACACATTTATTAACAATTTAACAAAACATACAAATTTTCAATAGTTTTCAATTGTATGACTCTATTGAACAAACACAACAATTGTATGACTATATTGAACAAATGCGTCATCAAATTAATCTAGAAAAATTAATGAAATTAAATAAAGGGAAAAATGCATTTATAAACTGCAAATCAATTATTTATGCATAATAACATAACAAAATATTTAAAAAAAAGTTTTATTTACAAAAAATATACTTACTACGTCTGCACAGAGGCGATTTTACGGTGGGTTGATGTTACACCCTCCCCTCCTAAGTAGGTGATTTTCAAGTTATAGTAGGGTTTTTTATACAGATTTAGTTGGGAACTTTGACTTTTCTTTTTTTTTTAAGACGCCAGTTGGTACTTTTTAAAATCTCAACTCCCCCCCCCCCCCTTATTTTATTTGTAAAATTGCCTCTGCATCTGCATCATCAATTATAAATTGGTAGATTAACCAATTACAAAAATACTAATTAAGGTCAACTTTAGCTTCGATAAAACTAACATCCTGCGATGATACTGTTTTAATAAACCTATAAAACAGAACATGTTTCATAAAGTAACATTCGAAGTAATTAAACTTTAGAAACTTTAAAACCAATTAAAAAACTAAAAAATACATACAATTTACAAATAAAAGTATATTCAATAATCATTTCGTTTATGATAATGATAATAGAAGATTCAAAGACATTTCAGAAATTTATAAAAGTAAAATAGG